CGCCCCGCGGCGGGCGCCCGAGGGGCTGGAGGCGGCTGCCGCGAAGCTGCCGTGGGCGGGCCCGGGGGTTTGCAGGCCCTTGGAGCCTCACCAGGGCGCCCGCTGGTTGTCGGCGCCGCCGCCGCGCGGGTCATATGTTTCCCCCTCCCAGCCAATGAATCTGGCGTCGCCGCCTGCCTGCTGCGGGCCCGGTGGATGGGGAGGGTTGGGCAAGCGACGTCTGAGGAGACTGGGGGCAGCCAGGAGGGTGCGGCTGCACGGCCGGGGAGGGGCGGCAGCGCGGGCGGGCGCGGCGCGTGCGGAAGCGGGGGGCGCGAGCGGCGCGGCTGGGCGCGCGGGCCGGCCGGACGCGGGCGCGCGCTGCCGCCGGGCGGGCGCCTTGCGGGCGGCGGTTGGGCGGGCGCATCGTTCTGAGGTGTGCTCTGAGGCAGCGCCCCGGCCGCCCCGTCGCTGCACTTGCGGATACTATTTCAGCCTTTCCAGCTAGGCAGCGGGAGCGCGTTGTTGCCCGGGCGCAGCCGGGGCCGGCCGCCTGCAAGCCCAGGCGAATGGGCGTGCACTTGCACTGGCGCACCGCATTTGCCCGCCCACCTGTTGCAGCGCCGAAGCGAGCCCGCTGCCACAGAGCAGCACGCCCGCATATAGAACAATCAATACAATATGCTTCTTATACGATTGCAGTCCTGCCATCAGTGCCCAAATTGTGCGACCGTGGAACTGAGCTGGAGTTTCGAGATCACGGCCTGCTGATGCTTGGCTGCACTCCTATAAGCAAGAAATCGCCGTACAGGCGCGTGCATTAAAAACATGGGAGTGTCACGTACCTGCTTCTGCACGTGGGGGCGCTGCACACGCAATGTGTGCTCGCCCCCAGTCGGACGGCAGCTTCACCCGCTGTGCGCGCAGCGATCCGGCCAGGGCTCGGCGCAGCCGCAACGACGGCAACAACGCCATGGCGATTGGCAAGGTCTGCAGGCGGGCGGTAAGCCGATGGCAGCAATTTGAAGGGCGGTGACATTGCATTACACAAGCGAGGGACGCAGCAAGGCCAGGGGAAGGCCCCTGGTGTGAACCTGTAACACAGTAGGGCCGCCTAGTATGGCTGATCGTATGCATAGTATCCAGCGAGTTGCGACTCCACCAGACATGGGGATGGCTAGTGCTGGCAAACACCGCTCTGCTGAGGCCTGGGAGGCCGGGATCAGCGGCAGCGCCGCCCAAGTGCAGCACAATGTGCGGGCCCCTGCACGCCCCGCGTTCCAGGCCACAAAGAACGCGCGGCCACTCGAAGCAGACGTGGAGCGGAGCCTCGCACCGACGGGGCTTTCGCGGCCGGCAAGGCCAGGCAGCGCGTAGAGCCGCCGGGCTAGTGTCACTCAGTCAACGCTGCGTCGCCGACTCGGGCCGCCAGCTCTCGCCCTGCGCGCGCCGCGCCGGCCTCCTGCGTCCAAGCTGCTTGACTTTGAGGAGGTGCGCGAAAGTAGGAGGGCGGTACACACATGTGGCGGTACACACGTGTGCAGCGCCGCGGATGGAGGTGTCGGAACCTGATAACCGGAGCTTCAAACTTATCGACCTGCGGCGGTGCCTCGCATCGCCTGCACTGGTGAAAGCGGGAAGTTGTGCACATGCACCTGCGGCGGCGGTGTCAAGAGACGAGGGTACGGCGAGGGGCCGAGACCGAGGAAGGTTGATCCCTTGGTTACCCGGGGTGCATCACCCGGCCCCTGGGGTGAGCTGGCGCCGTTCCTTGCCTGCGCGCCTGTTAGCCCGGGCATGCCTGCCGCTCTAAGCGGTGGACTTCAGCTAGTAACTCGTCATACGTTTTGTTCTTAGTATACTGCCAGCAACCGTGCTGTTAGTGCGAGACCGACGAAGCACCCGCGTAGCCATCACCGCCGCCCGAGCACGCCAAGCCGGGTGGGGGCCTTCTCATTAGTTACAGAACGATTTAATAACATATATTGACCGGTGATACGCCCCTAAAGCCTCCTCCGACCGCGGCTGACTACTGGGGCGCACCAGAAGTGGGGAGCCCGCCAAACTCGCCCCTCCAAATGGGGCGCCCTCCCCGGACGGGAGCCTTCCTGGCGCTCGTCCTGCTGGGAGTCGCCGCCGCGCAGCCCGACGACTTGGCGGTCATGCGGATGCCGGCCAGCAAGGTGCAGCCGCTGTCGGAGCTCCCGGGCTGCGGCGGGCAGACGATCGACGCCGCGATGGACACGTGCCGCCTCCAGGACAACATCAAGATCCATGATGTCCATGAGTACCAGTTCGTTGTGCCCTCGATGGACGACCCGGGCGCGGCATTCTCGCTGCTGCTCACGACAAAGTCGGTCGGCGGGCTGGTCGAGGCGTGAGTGGCCCCCGCGCCAACCACCTTGCGCGCGCGCGCGCGCGCGCAAGCATCCGCGGCGCGTCCCACGCGCGGGACGTTTGGGTGGCGTGGCGCCACAGGAGCCGCGGGGCGGCGGCAGGCCGGCCCACCCGCACGCGCTGCAGCGAACCTCCGCACGCACCCTGTGCGCCGTGCCGCGGCGGGCCGCGGGCCGATCGCTCGCAGCACGCGCTGGCCCCTCCCAGTGCCGGCCCCGGCGGCGGGCGCCCCGCCGTCTGCGCGCCCGCCCCCGCGCCCGGGCTGTCCCTTCTGGCGGGAACCGCGGCAGCGCCGCCTTAGTGCAATGATCAACCTCCTCACGCGGACGCACGCTGGGTCCCTGAAACGAAGCGACGCCCGCGGCATCCATCTCCCCCGCAGATTTGTCCTCGGCCCGAAGAAGATGTTTTCCTACACGCCCATATTCCAGCTCGTCGGCGCCACCCCCGGCCACACGGCGATGGCGGAGATGTTCATCCGTGTGGATGGCAAGGATATGGAGCCCGGCCTTTGGCGGCTGAGGGTGAGCCGCCGGGGCCGAGGGGTTTGGCCGGGGCGATCGGGGTTGATCCGGCCGGCTGATTGGATCTGATGCATTTCAGGATCACAGGGGCCGGCGTCCCTGCAGAGGGTCGAGGCGGGCGCCCGCAAGCGCAAACGGGGTTTGGCCGGCGGCGGTGCGCTGCTATCGTGCGAGGGGTCCTGTGCTGCGGGCGCGCGGGCGGCGGGCCGGCCGGTCGGCGGTGCGCGGTGCGCGGCGCTGCAAGGGCGCTGGCGCTTGCGAGGTGTTAGGTCGCCGGTGCAGCGGCGGCGCCAGGGGGCTGGGCCCTGGACGGGCGGCGCCCTCAGGCGTTCCGTGACAGCATGAGGCGCCCCTGTGTAGCAGCAGCTCTGCACACATGAGCTGCGGAGTTTCCCCAGGGTCTGTCGTGACAGTTGCCTTGAGGCCTGGGGCGCGCGGCCGCGGGCCGCTGCGGGCCGCCGCGGGCGCCGCCGCCCGCGCCGCAGGTGGC